CCGCCGCCCCGCCCGCGCGCGGGCCCGCCCATCGCCGCCGCGAGCGCCGCGAGCGCCACGCCGTGCCCCGTCGCCGCAACGAGCGCGGCGGCGCCGGGCGGGTGCGCGTCGGCGGCGGCGACGAGGCCGAAGGCCAACCAGAACGCCGCGGCCGGCGCAAAAGGTGCGAGCGCCCAGCCTAGCGCCCGGCCATACCTCATCAGAAGCCGAGCAGCCGCGGCTGCGTAGGCCGCCAGCACCGCCATCGCCTTTTTAAGCATCTCCCCGATCGGCTCCAATAAGATGGCGACGACTGGCAAGAATGTGATAGAAACGCCGACGGCGCCGACGGCCAGCAACATGTTGCCGATTGACAGGAGCCCCAGCAGCCGCCGCACCGCCGACGGGCGCGCCTTGCAGCCCACGCGCCCGCCCGCGCAGTCGCCGTGCTCGGCGGAGGCGAGCAGGGCGCCCAGCGAGATGATGTCATTTGGCTGCAGGGGGCGCGGCAGTCCGGGGGCGCCGGACTGGGACCGGGAGATCCAGCCTGCCGGGCTGGCGGCGCTGCGGGTGCTGTTGTCTGGCCACAAGATACCGGCCGCCTGAGAGTGTGGGAGCGGTTGTTGTTGTGTGAAATACATTGTTGTTGTTGAGGGCGTTCTGGAAGGGGTGGGAAGGTCGCGTGGCTGCAGAAAACGTCATAGGTGGTTGGGCGGTGACCCCAGTGTCAGACAGCCCGAGCCTTCATTTCTCCAGACCACGTACCTCTGCAATTAGCTCGGCCTCTTCCTCGAATCCCGGGGTCCCGGCTGCTACATCCTCGCCCCGCAGCTTCGCCAGCTGCAGCAGCTCGCCGGAGATGCGCCCCAGCTGAAAGCAGGCGGCGCGCGACTGCGGCAGGCTCAAGGCTAGGACGGTCTCGACGGGCAGGGCGGCGCCCCGGCCGCTGCCGCCCCAGGGGACGAAGAGCCTGCGGGTTCCATCGTGCGTGGGAAGGATGAGTAGGCGCACGTGCGGCTGCCTCGCTGTGTGGAGCCCGCCGCCAACCAGCGCAGCAAAGCCGAGCACAAACACACTTCTAGCGCAGCAGCATCTAGCGGCAGCTGCCTAGCGACTCCCCGCCCCGCCCCGTCGCCTGGCCACCTGCCTTGCAGGTGCCAGCACCTGCCTTGCAGGTGCCAGCAGCAGGCGCTGGGTCAAGGGGCCGCTGTGTAGGTCCAGCGGGGCGTTCAGCGGGCCCCGCGCCAGCCAGGCGCAGCACGCCAGGACGTAGGCTAGCCATGCTGCCCAGTACAGGGGCGCCCGCCACCCCGGCCGCCATGGGCGCGGCGCAGGCGCACTGGCAGGCGGGTAGGCATCAGCGTCTGCCGGCGGCATCCCGCGGTACGGCGGTGCTCAATGCGCGCTGAGCTGTCACGCAGCTTCGCAGGAGCAGCGCGGGCCGCGGAGGCGGCGCGGGTCGCTGGTACGCCCCACGCCCGACGGCGGTCACAAGCGCACACTCCTTGGGGCGAGCGCTTGTGATCTCAAGCCAATGCTTGCGGGGGTACTCAGCAGCTGCGGTGGGGCGTGGGCGCGCAGCCCGAGCCGCTGCGCTGCGCCGTGCCTGGCGTCAGCGACGGTGACACCGCCGCTGCAGTCTATGATGATGTGCAGACGCGCTTGGTTCAACGGTATGCAATGCTCGGACACTTTCAACTGCTATAAACATGTGTTCTTGTCCGACAACTCAGTCGTGCCCAGCGGGTGTTGCCCAGTGCCACGCTGCGTCACTGAATGACTTGTACAAGTGTACTCGGTTTCACGTGCATCACAGCCACTGAAACATGCGATTCGGATGCGCTAGGCCATGCCGGAGGCTTGCTGTCCCCTGGCAAGTTGCCAGGAAGTTGCCAGGGAGAAGCTGACCGCTGCTACCAACCTTGACACTGGAATGTACCGCTCAATGCAGCGACGCTGATTGTTTGTGCAGCATTCCAGGCCCCCCCCCGTCCCGCCATCACGGGCGCGTGTCCGGCTCCGCTGCTGTCAAACACTTTTCAAGAGGCCCGGATCTCTCACAACCCCGTACCTGCCGTTTCCACACTCTGCAGGCCCATCATCAATCGCCCTCGCCCCACAACCCACTGCGGGTGTCCACACCGTATGCCACCAGCCGTCCCCTAGCCCCGTCCCCCTTGCCCAGCAGATTCGAGTGTCCCGCACTCCCAACCCGCATGACGTCATCATGGGCGGCCCCGTGCCTCACTCACACCCGCGATCCAACACCTGAGCACAGCAACACTCGAATGCATGCAACAGGCGCAGAGGCGTCACTACCAAGCCACGCTCCCGACGCCACCAGAACCTTGAGCAGTCGGCAGTGAGCTCACCGCTCGGTGCTCGTCGCTACTCGGCGGACTTTGGAAGGCGTCGATCAGGACTGAGCATGTGTATGTCGTTTTCAGGCCCGCCGCAGCATTCTTTCATCGCCAGTCCACGCCTGGCGCACCCACACCGTTGATCCTTCAACGCTGGCACCCATCAGCGCTCAGCCACCGATGCGGCCCGGATCGCGAGGCAGTGTCCGCTGCTGACGCCGAGCCCAAGCCGAATGTAAAATTGTCCATAACGAAAGCAGCTGGACAGACGCCGCGTTTACACGTTGCGTTTGAGGGTGCGCTGCTTCGTGGCCACCTTGACCACCTTCTCCTCAACAGGCAGCCCCTTGCGCCGCCGCACGGCGTCCATGAGGCGGCGCGCCAGGTTGGTGGGGCCGCCGGCCTCTGTGCCGTACTCCTCCAGCTCCTCCTCAGTGGTCGGCACGAAGAACGGGTCGACCTGAAAACATGTAAACAGGGCGGGTTTTGAGGCGGGGCGAGGGAGAGGAGGAGGGGAGGCGGGTGCGATGGGTGTTGAGTTTGGTGGTTTGGCGTGCCTCGGCTCCGACCAGGGATGCGGTGACTGCCGCATTGGAGGTGAACAGCGCCGTCAGACGCCATGCACCACTCCCTTTTTGGAATACGGCGCAGAGAGCCAGCAAGCTCCGCAGCCCAGCCTCGCGCACCGACCTCCCCCAGAAC